CGTAAACCAATATTTCGTAAACCGTTTGACGGAAAGTTTATTTATGTTCATTTATTTAATAATTGAACGAGCATAAACACAAATTTGTGTTCATTTAGTTAAAGGAAAAAATGTGAACAATAGTTTCTTTCGTTGATCTATGTCCGTGAATTTGCGTTTATGTTGTTCGTTTAAGTTTATTTATGTTTATATATGTTGAATTGTTTTTTCATTACATTATTATATTATATGTTCGTTTATGTTCAACAGTGTTTGTTTATCATTGTTTGGTTTATGCTTATTTAACATGTTCATGAACATAAATAAACGAACATAAACAATGTAATTTGTTAAACAAACGAACATAAATAAAAGAACTTGTTTGTTTATCTGTTCGTGTTCTTTCGTTTATTCAGCTGACTTAAACGAATTAACATGAACTAACAATTGTTCTTGTTCGGTCAGTTCGCTTACAACCCTACCAATAACCAATACATCGAACAGTAAAATATATTTATATGATTAGTGATAACCAAGAAATATAGCGTCTACCGATTTCGCCATATCCCCTTTTTGAGATGAAAATCTTATTGTGATCTTGTTCCCGCTTTTCTTTTATTTATATCGGAACCGTTAAATTCATTAGATAGATGCCGATTACTGTCTTGAAAAAAGTGTTTTCTCCTCTTTGTCCTTGATTTTTTGTTTATCTTTTTTCATCTTATATATCTATATTATATATCTATAGGAAGCTTATATTCGATCCAATAAAAACGATTTTATCATTGTATTGGCAATTCAATATAGATGGACACATACGCTATACACCAGCCTTTCTTCCACTCATCAACCCATGAAATTTCGATTACAGTCGATTCTTTTTAATAAAGCAATGAAGGAATCTATATGTATAGGCAAAATTATAAAAAATCATTCATGTGGTGAAGTTTGTTTTACAAAATTGAATAACAAACAATAAAAAATAAACACGTGTATTTGATAAGTATCCATGTGGCGAAAAATGAACAAGTCCATTTTAGTATTAAAGTGAATTGAAGTATTGAACACTAATACAATCTTGGAAGGGGTGTACGCCCATTAGAAGAATTAACGATGCAAAGTGAAAATAATAAAAATACTAAATCAATTACTTGATTAGCAATGACGTTCTAGGAAGGATTTTTTTTTAATCATATAAACAAATAATTTTATAATAATAATCATTTTTTTTTATAAAATTTATAAAACTATCACTTACTCCAGAATATAATATTACGGAGTAGTTATGTTCATTTCAAAGTTGGATGGTGGCTGTAGGTGTAAGTTCCTGAATTTGACACCTGTACATTCTGATGTATTCTGAACCGTACACCGAAATGTACACGCATTCCAGAATGATGTTTCGAAAAGTAAAATTAGGGTATTTGTGCGTTGTTTGTTCTTCCGCAAGCAGCATATTTCTTTGTCTTTGTTCCTCTATTACCGAAACCCCATTTTGATAGTTTTCATATATTAAAAAAATGAGTGTGTATAAGGATTTTTTTTAGTGTTAATTTCTAGTGGATGTCAATGATAATTTATCGGGAGATTTATGTAATATATTGTTTCAAACTATACATGTTTTGGTGTTAATTACGTTGGTTGTTTCCAAGTCTAGATTACATTCTAATCAAATATATCTATGTTTTTAATGTTTTGGATCAAATATAATTAAAGATGATATTGATGTATGATATTGACTTTATGTTTTTTTTACAAAATATATGTTTTTAATGTTTGTTGTTCATCGACTTTCCGAAAATATTGTGATGGCAATGAGTCTTTCGATTCTACAAATAACCAAATTTGTAATTTATTAAGATAACAAGTAATGGATTTGACAAATTTCATTCTCTCTTCTATAGAATATTTGTGTTGGGAATAAAGAAAAAGAAAAACCAAGTCAAAGCAGACGAGCGCTCATCGAAAGTCAGCATTCTCCTGCTTTCTTCGTCCCTAACCTCCTTCCCTCTTTCCCCCACTTACACATCAACTCCAAGTGCATAAACACAAATACTCCTATACGTACTTCCCAAATTATTTATTCTTTATTGTTCATATCGTTATCGTCTGAAATCAACTTGAATTCACTGGCTTCAGCTTGATATTAGCATCGTTTGACGCAGATTGATGCATACGAATCATCGCTTGTATGTAAAATTCTACTTCATTCGGAGAAACTGAGGTTAAAATTTCAAGGATCAGACAAGTTTTTGTGTGTGTTTGTTTTGATTCACTTCTGGCCTATCTCTTTGTAAGCACCACTAAATCTCTCTATCCTATTATTAAGATTGAGTTTTCGATGATTAAATTAAACGGGAGTTTGACTTGTGGTTATCAAAACTTTGATTCTTTTTGGAATATTGGTATAGGACTAGGTGTTGCTTAGGGTTTTTTCACTGTAAGTAACAGTACTAGGATGCAGTTTGAAGCCTGAATTACACAATAGAACTTTAAGATGACATTGTGTTAGGAGCGTGAGTTCCTTCATGATTGGCCATATTTATCATACACTTATACTCCTACACCTACATCAAAAATGTTGATTCTATGTTACTTATATAATTACATTCCGAAAGCAACTTGACTTCACTCCTTTCAGCTTGTAATTCACACAGTTTGACCTAGTTTTATGCAGACGAATTACTGTTTGATGGATTTTCTTACTTCATTCGGAGAAACTGAAGTCAAAATTTGAAGGATCCCATAGTTTTTGTTCCATTTCTGTCAGCAATCTATGCCATTGTTAGATTGAGTTTTGGATGATTAAATTTAAGGGTTTGACTTGATGTTATGAAAACTTTTCTTCTTAAAATTGTGGCTTGTCATATCTGTTATTGTCTTGTTCCTTGTTCATCAAAAGGGTGAAGATTATGTGCTTCTTGATGATGAAGTATATGTTTTTGATTGATATAGTTAATTGTAAACCCTAACAAATTAGTTTCACATTTTGACTTAAAATTTCTTAAATTTGGTCTTTAGGTAATTTTGCAATGCACCGTGTGGCCAGTGCAGGCAATACCTCAAATTCATCACGTCCTCGTAAGGAGAAAAGATTGACTTATGTTTTAAATGATGCTGACAACACAAAGGTCAGACTTTATTTTGTTTTTACACTATTTCTTCCATGTGTATATATATATATATATATATATATATATTATATATATATATATATATATATATATATATCTGTTCCTTCATAGATTTGTAATACTCCAAGTATCTGTTGGTGTACTTGTACATTAGAAAAGATTTACATATAATTACAAGCTGTGCCACTTATTACAAATGTATGTTTTCACATCCTTTGGTTGGCATGTAGGCACAAAGCTGATTATTGCAAGATTTAAAAGGTGGTCATAAGCTTTGAAACCTCATTTGAAAAATATTCTTTGCATTCTTGTGTTACTTTTTATACAGTTCTAACTTCAGAAAGCATCCAAATAATCACTAACATAAGCACATAGTTTAGTAAAAACATGAACACTATTTTCTGAGCCTTTGTGTTTGCAGCATTGTGCAGGTGTGAACTGTTTGTCTGTCTTAAAGCATTCAGAAGCAGATAATCATAATTTTCTCTTCACTGGAAGCCGTGATGGAACATTGAAAAGATGGGAATTAGGGGAAGAGGATGCCACTTGTTCATCTACTTTTGAGTCTCATGTTGATTGGGTATTATTTCATTTCTACTCTAAATAAATTGTATTATTTACCATTAGTCTTTTATCTTTTTGAGAGATGATTCCAACTCATTATTGTAACATGATGAATTATTTACATTGGGTCTTGGAGATCAATGAGTTTTGGCTTTTTGCATCCGTTTTTTTTTGTGCTTAAATCCATAGTACATTTCAATAACATAATATCAAAGATATCAAAATTAGTTTTGCACTATTTTAAAGCCTGCATATTGTGTGAAAACAGTTTTATAACTAAATAAATGTTAGTGACTCTATTACTTCCTTAAAAAAAAGTCGGTTTTTGTACAGGTCAATGATGCAGTCCTTTTAGGAAAGAATACCCTTGTCTCCTGCTCTTCAGATACCACAGTCAAGGTTTTTCTTGATTTTATAAACTTCCTTCATTAATATTCTTATGATTTGTAATAGTAATACTATATTGTGTTATACCAGATTTGGGATAGCTTTTCTAATGGAACTTGTAAAAGAACTCTCCACCAACACACAGATTATGTTACTTGTCTTGCTTCCTCAGAAAAAAATGTAAACTTGTTGAAAATTTGTCACCTCTTTATAAGAAATCAATATATATACTTTTACAAAACCATACATACCTTTCTTATAGAGCAATATTGTTGCATCTGGTGGATTGGGTGGTGAGGTGTTCATTTGGGATCTTGAAGCTGCAGTTACTCCAGTCATCAAGAATACTGAAACGCCAGCTGTCACTGATTCTTCAAATGGAAATTCTACAAGTCTACATGCTGTAAGCTCAAGCAATGGCATTACATCACTCACAAATACACCTCAAGGATATGTTCCCATTTCTGCTAAAGGACATAAAGAGTCTGTTTATGCATTAGCAATGAATGATACTGGAACTCTTCTGGTCTCTGGTGGCACTGAGAAGGTAGATTCTTCTTTCCAAAACATTTGAAAATTCCACCTCATTATTTCAAAAAACTACTCAGTTTTATCAGTGAAAATGAAAATTGATTTTGTATTTGGATTACATTGCTATGATTGAATAGACTTTGTTCTGATACATCATGTGTGTTTTTACTAAGAGTAAATTACACGAATGGTCCCTATGGTTTGGGGTAATTTGCGTGCTTGGTCCCTAACTTATTTTTTTCAACTCGGAAGGTCTCTGATGTTTGTTTTTGTTACGTGTTTGGTCCCTGTCTTACCTAAAAAGACTATTATTTAAATAGGGAAAATGGTAGGATAGGTAAGGTATGGTGAGAGGGGGTGGTGTTATTTAAATAAATTAAAAAATCAAGGGCAAAATAGTCTTTTTAGGTAAAACAGGGACCAAACACGTAACAAAAACAAACACTAGGGACCTTCCGAGTAAAAAAAATAACTTAGGGACCCAAACGTGCAAATCACCCTAAACCATAGGGACCATTTGTGTAATATACTCTTTTATACTAATTATCCTAACATAGTAAATGAAGTCCTCATGTTTCTTGATTTGTAATTTTTTGTAGGTTGTACGTGTTTGGGACTCAAGAAGTGGTTCAAAGATGATGAAGCTTCGTGGGCATACAGATAATATTAGGGCTTTGCTTATCGATTCTACAGGAAGGTTTGTTACTTTGTTTTCTCATTTTTATCATTTTCCTAAAATGAAGAATTCTATCTCCAATTTACAACTCAATCTCATTTCCTAATTTCATTTTATAAACAACTTTGAAACTTGTGTATATTTTAACGATTCTTTAACAAGGTTTATTAACTATTAACTTGTGTACACTTCAATTTCATGATTGCAGGTTTTGCTTATCAGGATCCTCTGATTCTATGATCAGGTAAGCTGTTTCATGAAAAAAAAAAAATTTATTTTTTTATTTGTTTTTAATATATATATTTGTGGTAGATTATGGGATCTAGGGCAACAGAGATGTGTGCATTCATATGCTGTTCATACAGATTCTGTATGGGCACTTGCTACTACTCCAACATTCAGTCATGTGTATAGTGGTGGAAGAGACCTTTCTGTGAGTCTGCTTCTATTTCTTTATGTTATTAACTTATTATTATAATAATTATCAATCATTTAATAATAATAATAGTACTATTTGTTTCTACTTGTAGTTGTACTTGACAGACCTTTCTACAAGAGATAGCTTATTGCTATGCACAAAGGAACATCCAATTCAGCAATTAGCATTAGATGATGATGGAATTTGGGTTGCAACAACAGATTCCTCTGTGGACAGGTGGCCTTCTGAACACTTGAATCCTGAAAAATTGTTTCAAAGAGGTGGTTCCTTTCTTGCTGGAAATTTGTCTTTTTCAAGGGCAAGAGCTTCTTTAGAAGGATCTACCCCTGTGAGTTATGTTATCTTTTTTTCTGTTTATGTTGATGCATATCTGTTTACATAAACTAACTCATGTAATTCATGTGTAGGTTCCTGTGTATAAAACTCCCACTTTAACTATTGATGGAATTCCAGGGATAGTGCAACATGAAATATTGAACAATAGAAGACATGTCCTAACCAAGGTAAAATATTAATCCTTTTTACATTTTTAAAAAAAGAACACTTTTCGTCTCCTATTTTGTATTATTTTTTCTTGAAGAATTTGAAACTGATGGTGTGAAGTGTGAATTTGATAGGATAATGGTGGTTCTGTGAAGCTTTGGGAGATCACTAAAGGTGTTGTGATTGAAGACTATGGACATGTTTCATTTGAAGAGAAAAAGGAAGAACTATTTGAGATGGTATGTACGAATATAGAGATCTTTATAAAAAGAGTAAATTACATAAATGGTCCCTATGGTTTGGGGTAATTTGCGCATTTGGTCCCTAACTTATTTTTTTTTTTTAACTCGGATGGTCCCTTATGTTTGTTTTTGTTACGCGTTTGGTCCCTACTGTTTGTTTTTGTTATGCGTTTGGTTCCTGTCTTGCCTAAAAAAACTACTATTTAAGTAGGAAAAAATGGTGGGGTAGGTAAGGTAAGGTGAGGGGGGTAGGGTTGGAGGTGTGTTTATTTAAATAAATTAAAAAATCAAGGGCAAAATAGTATTTTTAGGTAAGATAGGGACCAAGCGCGTAACAAAAACAAACAGTCAGGACCTCTTCCGAGTTAAAAAAATAAGTTAGGGACCAAACGCACAAATTACCCTAAACCATATGGACCATTCGTGTAATTTGCTCTTAATAAAAAAAAAACAATGTATATCTATATATATATAATCTTCATCTGTTTCCATTTTGATTTTATATATATTTTATTTTCCAGGTCAGCATTCCTCCATGGTTCACTGCAGATACTAGGCTCGGAAGCTTGTCTATTCATTTAGATACCCCCCAGTGTTTTTCTGCTGAAATGTACGCTGCTGACCTCAGCATCACTCAGAAAGCTGAAGATGACAAGGTTCACACATTGGATTTGAATTAAGTAATGAAAAACATCATCATTGATGCCTTACAAAATACAAATTACAATCTCTTTGATCTTTGCAGATTAATTTAGGTCGAGAAACTCTGAAAGGACTATTGGCTCCTTATTTTTCCAAGAAAAAAGTTAGATTCGTGTCTCAACCTTCAGTCAATGGAGAAGCTCCAAGCAAAGATATATCTTCCAAAAACATTCCACTTTCAAGACCCGAAGCAGATGCTAATGTTCAAAGTGATTCCAGAGTTTACCCTCCATTTCAATTCTCAATTGCTTCTCCTCCTTCTATTATTACTGAGAGTTCTCAAATTGGAATATGGAGGAAGAAAATTACTCTTCTTGATGGAATTGAAGATGATGATTTCCCTCGTTGGGTTTTAGATGCTGTTTTGCTTAATCGAATGCCCCCAAGAGAACATACCAAGTAATTTGTTGCTTTTTATCTCATACATTTTAAATATTATAGTATTTAAAAAGTAAAGATGCTCATTCAAGTTTCTTTGCTTTTTTTTTCAGATGTAGTTTTTATTTACATCCATTTGAAGGTTCAGCTGCTCAGATCTTGACACAAGGGAAGCTGAGTGCACCTCGGATTTTAAGAATGCATAAGGTGTGATATATTTATTACTACAATCACCTTAATATGAGTTTTTAATTTTTTTTTTTTTTGAAGGTTGTTAATTATGTTGTGGAGAAGATGGTTCTAGACAAATCATCAGATACTTTGATTAGTGATGGAGCTTTTGCTCCTGGATTGAAGCCATGGAAGCTTAAGCCTTCTATAGAGATCTTGTGCAATAATCAGGCATGTTCATGAGTTTAATTCATAATGATTATTTTATTTAATTGGGTAGAATTTGAATTTTGAAGTAGAATGTCTTAATAAATAAAAAAGTTAAAACTGATCTTTTTGTATGCACAGGTGTTAGCACCTGAAATGAGCTTAGCCACTGTTCGAACTTACATATGGAAAAAGTCTGAGGATCTTGTTCTCAACTACAGGATTGTGTCAGGAAAATGAATCCATAGGTATGTTCTTCATAATAGCAACATACTTTACTCTCATTATCAATAATATCTTTTAATCTTTTTTTTTGTAGGTGGTTGTTACACAAAATTGAATTTGGGATTTTGTATTTTGACTTTTTGACAACGAGAGCTGTTGACTTCAGAGAAAAGAAGAGTGAATAATAGAAGAAACCAACTCTCTTGTAAAAATCCTTAGAGCTTTTGCTGGTTGCCGAGTTAATTTCATAAGGCTTTGTATAATTTTATTGTTTGGTGGGATGGGGGTTAATTTTATGAAAAGCAACGATGTTTAGTTGTTTTTCGGTTGTATTTTCCCCATTTTTTGTATTTTTATTATTAATTCACTTTGTTATTATTTTTGTCTTTTATTTGTACGTTATGTGGTCATTGTTTGTTGTATTTATGGATTTATTGATGATATTGATTTTGGTACAGAAAGTCGTATGGTTAATAAGCTATTAATATACTTTTGATATTCAGTTATCACTTAAGACCAATGAAATTATATTATAGCAAGGAATGTTTAATAAGGATTTAAGTTGATGTTCATCGGTATTATAAGATAGTTTTATGTATGGAAACCTGTTTTATAATATAGTTTTATGTTTTTATAGTATAGTTTTATGTATGGAAACCTGTCTTTATTAGATTGTCAATCTTTAATCGATAACCCCACTTTGTTGGTAGGAGATGACCTTACGGTAAACATGTATGAATCATTCTTAGCCTCACATTTATTTTGCCACAAAATACTTAGGTGTACCGTTGGAAATAAATAACCAATAAATATGTTTTCTTAAACTATGCTAATCATTACTTTAATATACACACAAACATACTTTTTTTTTTTTATTTTTTTTATTTTTAGAAAGTCATTTTTATCGAAAAATTATTTTAAATATATCAAAATTTATAAATTTTTATTCTCTATAAATAGACATCTATATTGATATAGTTTTGAAATAAAATAATTTTTTTTAGAGTTTCAACTCTCGTTACTCATAAGTGAATAAAAATTTGTTATTACAGTACATTCGTTATTCATTTATGAATAAAACGTATGCTTAATTTTTTTTTTTAATAGTTTAAGTATCGCTCATATATTAATATGATATGTAATAAAGTTTTCTTACTTAAAATATATTTTTGACACCATCTTTCGTCATATATTATATTTATATATGAATAAAACGTGTATTAGTTGTCGTCATATTTTATATTCATATATGAATAAAACATTTATCAAATTTTTGTTACACTTAATTTGTTATTCATATATGAATAAGTAGTATAAATGATACTTAAACTATAAAAAAATCAATTATATATTTTTATTCATAAGTGAATAACGAATATACTGTAGTAAAAATCTGATGCATTTTTATTCAATTATAAATAACGATAGCTGAAAATATATATATATTTTTATTTTATCTTAAAAGTATATCAATACAGATGTCTATACGTAGATAATAAAAAATCATGATTTTTTTGTATATTTAAAATTATTTTTCGTTAAAAATAGCTTCTTAAAAATTAAAAAAGCGACAAAAGCTATATATATATATATATATATATATATATATATATATATATATATATATATATATATATATATATATATATATATATATATATATATATATATATATATATAAGGAAACATGTTTTGTTGGAAACACATGTGTATTTCTTATAAATTGCCGCTAGTACTATGGAGACTTTTGCGACAAAAATAAATGAGTGGCTGAGAATGATTCCCCAATTCTCAACCTTTTTTATTTTTCCTCAATTGAACTTACCTATATATATATATATATATATATATATATATATATATATATATATATATATATATATATATATATATATATATATATATATATATATATATATATATATATGTTTAAGTTATTTTGTTTTTACTAACTATTGTGTGTCAGAATGCATAGATCTGGACCACTAGATGAATAAAATCAACAGTCTTGATCTGAGGGTCTATGATATTACCATAGTGTAACATATATCATATAATCACACATTTCAGCAAAGAGTATTTTGGTCAATTAACCTATTTTAAAAATGAAAATTTTTGGATTTTAAGGGATCATTAATTCCCTTATTTTTTTAAAAATCTGAATTTTCTAAATTAATTCTAATTAAAATTTAATATTATTTTTACTAATAACCGATTTTACTCTGTCAGAATGACCAAAAATCAACAATAAACTAGTAAATGTATTTGCGGTTTTATTTTTACAAAATATCGCTTCATTCAAGATACTTTTTATATTAAACATGCTTAAAAAATTATACAACATATTATCAAGAATAACATTTTCTATAAAATACGGATTACATTTATTCTTAAAGATTAAAACTAAAAATGGTTAAAAAAGAAAAAAAAACATTAAAATCTAACAAAAACATTAATCCATTCTAGAAGAATATTATTGTTAAGAAACACTTTATACATTTTAGCATAATACATTTTGCAAGAATACACTCTAATTCTCCATGTTTTTTCTCATTTTCCACATCAATGACAGTCTTTTCAAAACCTAAATTCACAAAAAAAAAAAAAAAAAAAAACAATCAACTTTCAAATATTAAAAAATTCGGAGCATTCTAAAAGAATAACAACTATAAATTATGATAGAATGTAGTAGACATAAAACAGTTGTGATTTATTCTAACAACATGCATAACTAGTTATTCCTCTAGAATATACTATCGCTATTCTAGTAACATGCATTACTCGTAATTTTGTTAGACTGCATTACCAGTTAAACAAATATACTTGTTAATAAAACATTTTTAAAGACATTTTGACAGAATGCATTTATATAAATAAACTCTGACCGAATACGCACAAGTTTTAACTTATATTCTGATAGAATTTATAACATCTTTTTTTTTAATAAAATAAAAACACCAAAATAACATAACTACACATATTAACATCAATTCTAAAAAAATATTTCATTTCTATTTGTTGCTTAAACTTCAATTTTTTAAGAAGTCTAACAAAATATTATCTACTTTACTTTTAACAGAATATTTCAACACAAGTATAAACATGTTACCTTAACATATTCTGACCGAATCTTCCAATAAGTCCAACATATCAAACTTGCCTCTTTTACACAAAAACTCTCTTTTTGACATTATATCAAGCACTTGGAAGTCATGTTTTATTATCAAACATTTGGATAAGACAGGTCCAATTCCATTGTTGAATTCTCAATCAATGAAATCCAATTAATTTCAAACAAAGACAAAAGAGAAATCAAACCAAGGGAGAATCATACCTGACACCTTGAAGACTGTTAGTTGGAGTAAAACACCATGGCTGTTTGTGATTGTCCATGCTCCATGGTATGATCGATATAAGGGTATTGATAGAGGGATTACTGACATTACTGAAGCGAAGCAGAAGAACAAATGCGAGAGTTAATGATCAATCTCCCCAAATCAACACCGGAGGAGATAAAAAAAGATTACATAAATCATTGAAATCAAGTAAAATCACCATGAGGGACCGGACCGATATTTGAAGGTCAAGAACAAATTAGGGGAATCTGAATCTATCAAAATACCTCAACAATTTATAGGTTCAGATCCAAAGTTCTCTCATGGCTTCTCGACAATCATCATTGTTAAGAATTGAAGTAATTAACAGATGGAGGTTGGCGAAGAGAGGAAGTGGGCATCGGTGATGGTGATGGTATTGATGCCGATGATGAACGTGTTCGACCACACACGACTAGGTCAAATATATTTACCTTATTTCCTTAATTGCAAGATTTCAATTAAATGATTTCCTTAATTAAAAGTACAAAAGGATGATTTATTTAATTACTTGTTATTTCTTGAATTCTCATTGGTTCATGTAGGTATACAATAGTTGCTAGAAACATTTGAATCTCTCTCTCTCTCTCTCTCTCTCTCTGTATATATATATATATATATATATATATATATATATATATATATATATATATATATATATATATATGATCGGGTGATGACTTATTTGAAAGTAAGGACTCATAAGGACACATTAAAAAAATTGAAAAAAAATACAAAACCATAAAATCAAGCATAGATCTATGTCCAGGAGAAAAAAATTGAAAAAATAATTTGCATTATTAAAATTGAATCATGGATCATAATGATACATTAAGATTGAATCATGATACAATTTTAATGATGCAATTTTTTTCCATTTTTTTCTCTCGGACATATATCTATGCTTCATTTTATGATTTGTATTTTTTTTTTATATTTTTTTTTCAAAAATTTTAAGGTGTCCTCACGAGTCCTCACTTTTGGGGTCGTGAGCATCTCCTCTTATACTAAATGGTCTTGCTCGTCCGTACGAGATAGGATCACCAAAAGCGATAGGATCAGGGGTGCTAATTGGAGGATCGTACTCCTCTAACTATCAGAGTGTTGCCATTGGTTGTAGCGATGATGCCCTGATTGCCTGTTTTGTCGCCTGACCGTATCATTTGTCTTGGAGATGAGAGCACCCTTGGCAGGCATGAGCTTTCATGAGAGCGCCTCTGGCGGGCGCCAACCTTTATCAAAATGCCCTACTCTTAGGGGCGTTGGCGGACGCTAAGCTCTAATGAGTCTACTCTGATGGGTGCGCTAGTCTTTGGGCCGAGCACGATTCTTTCATGTCGGCTAGGGCATGTTATCAAGTACCCTAGTCCGTGTAACGCTCTATTCCGAATTGACTCCTAGTCTGAGGTGGTGTCTCGAAGTTCAGTCATTATAAGGATTATGGATCTTGGGAAGGTAATATGTAGTCCCTTTTGGGTGCGGGTGATGTATTAGAAGTGATCCGGGTGTTCGGTTCGTGTTTTGGAGTGTAGGAGTATTTTGGTAAAATGGCAGTTCGGGTTTTTGTGTAAAATGGACATTTGTTAGGAAGGTATTTAGGAAGATATGAGTTGATAGAATTGTAGGGCTTCTCGGTACCTTTCCGTGGATATAAGGATCGTCGAAAACAGATTTGTACCGAAGAAGTTATAGCCTTCGGAAGTTTAGTAGTTTCAGGCTTAGCCGAGTACGCTGGGCGTACTAGTGAAGAAGGCATTACGCTAGGCGTAGTTTTGGAGTACGTTGGGCGTACTAACCAGGATGGTCGTGAATGTTCTTCGGATTATGCTGGGCGTACCATATGAACGCTGGGCGTACGCCAATCAGACCTGAACCCTATTTTAGGGTCTTGGACCCTATTTAAACTCCTTATCTCATAACCTAACCCTAATATCTTCAGCCTCCACCCCTCTAAACCCTATAAATCATCATATATCATCCATGGTGACATTTTGAGCTTATGGAGTCCATTTTTGAGGTGTTTGACCCATTTTCAAGAAGCTGAAGTTTAATGCAAAGATGGGAATCAAGGAGGAGCT